AGAGGGTCAGTGAAAAAGAGGAAGATCTTCAAAGAGATGGATTGACACAGTGGCTGCAAGAATGGGCTCAAGCATAACAACAATTGTGAAGATGGCGCAGGAGCTGGCAGTGTTTCATTCTGCTGTACATAGGTTCGCTTTGAGTCGGAACCGACTCGATGGCATCTAACAATAACATGCATTTTACATGTTTTTTTTCATAAAGGATATGTATTAGTCTTATAATCATAAAATAACATTTATTTGTTCAAAATTCCCCACATTCCTCCAAAAGTCTGTGATGGAAGATCCAGCTTGAGTCCAAGCGTGCTTATCAATAAAATGTAAACATGACTAGAAAACTGGTGAGGGACCCATTGGCATGAGAGGGTGAGCAGCCTGCTGGGAGAGAACTCACTTAGCCCAGGAGTCAAACATACCAAGCGGGTCCATTAACCGAATCTTGGTTTTTAACGAGAAGAGCAAATTTCAAATATAGCTGGGTGCCCATTATTCAGACCTGCCCCAGCCAATCTCATGTGGCTCATGTCACAGCAAAAGGCTGTGAATTAAAACTGAAAGGGCTGTATTGCTGAAAACTCAAGGAGACAGAGGGGCATAAGCAGCCCTTGGGGCCCCTCAAACAGAGTGTAACATATAAAGGGGTAGAGGCACTCTCTCTGCGTGTTGCTACCGACCCTGTGCAGTTTTGACACTGTAGGGATTCCTGGGGTATAGACAGGGGTGTTGATGATGGTGGCAGGAACACCCGGCAGATGTGCCAGCATTCAAGAGCAGCAACAGTTGTGCATGCAAGATACAGCAGTACCCAACAGAAGCAATGCCAGCCTCCCACTAATGCAGTGAAGTGGAGGAGTCCCAGAGAACCTACAGTGATATCCAACGAAGGCGGTAATGTTCAGTGGATGTGGCAGGCCCAGTGGTTAAAATGGTGCCTGGCACAACTGGGCTAGGAGTAAAGAAAGAAATTGTTGGTAGTTGATGACAGCTGGGTGGAAATCTGGAAAAATGAAAGTCTTCTAGAAACCCTCCGTAGACCACTAATACCTCATTGAACAGGATTTTGCCACATGACCACCCTCAGCACAGAGAAGACTGAGAAAGCAAGTTTTTAACTTTTGTGTTCCTAACCTAGAAGAAAGCAAGGAAGAGGAGTATTGGAAATGAGCGTTGACTTGATAAAGATGAGTCATTAAAAAACTCAGTATCAAATTAGATTTAGGCAAATACTATGGGAGGAAAATCTAGAAGGATCTGTACTCAGATTGAAGTTCTATGAAATATAAAAGAAAATACCTTATTCTCACATCAAAACATAGACATTCATGTGTTTAAACTAAAATAAAATGTTTAACATATGCCTGTGTTATTCTTTATGACTCCTCACAGTAACTGACTTTTTCAACTTGTCGACTAAGGATCCTATCATGTCAGATATTGAATAGACTTCCACCACTTCTTTCTTTATTTTGAAAATAACATTATTCTTTTAAAGAGTCATGCCCATTATAAATACTGAAATAATACAGAAATATACAAAGACTAGAGTAAAATTTAACTGTTAGGGTGACCATCCTTCCAGACCTCTTTCTATGTACACTTACTAAACATTATGCAAATGAGATCATACTGTTCTGTTATCCTCTCTCTCCCTTTTTTTGCACTCAATTGTATGTGTCACAGACAAATTTCCATGTCATCAAATACAGATCTACATTATCATGTATATATTATCTTCTTGGAAGTGCCATAATTTTTTTAACCAATGATTTAAACTTATCTATGAATAAATACTTAGGTCAACATCCATTTTTCATAATTATGAACAAAGCTGAGATGGAGGTCCTTTGTCTTTGTATGCCTTAGGTGGCAATTATTGTCTTGGGAAAAATTACAAGAAGTGGGACTGCTGGGTCAAAGGTACGCTCATTTAAAACGTTCATGCCTACCATCCCTGTGTATTCCAGAAAGGCTGGGCCAATTTATGCCACCACCAGCAGTGCATGAAAGAGCTGAGTTCCTGCCCCTCACCAGTCCAAGGTTCTGCCATTCTTCTGTTTCTTAGAGCAAAACTTCAGAAGAATTCTCTTTATCTATCTTTTGTCTACTAGGCTCTTTTTTTGTAGATAATTTTTTGCGTAAGTTTCATGCTGAGTTTTTTTCAGCTTACTTCTCTTTAATTGAGGGTAATTCTATCAGGGTTTTCCATTTGCTAAAAAATAGTGTGGATGAAATCTCCTTGACTCCTTCCCCTGTTGGTTTGGTTGCCATTTGGATCTTCTCTTAGGATTTGAGTTGAAAGGCTAGAATCTGATGGTAAGTTTCTCTGCTTATTTGTACATTTACCAGAAAAATTTGGTGAAGGGAGAGAGTCTTGATATCCCTCCTAAATTGTCGCCACTCCTGGCACCTGGACAGCTTGTCCAAGTTGGAAGAGTTTGGGTTTTGCTTTGTTTCCCCTCTTCTGGGTAGGCCAGCAACTTTGGTGAGAAGTTGGATGAGTGATGTTGCATGGTTCGTCAGATGAATCTGTTCCTCTTTATGAAGGAGAGTGGCTTGATGGAGACAAACTGGGTAAAAATCCAGCTTCACCAACATCCTCTTGGCTAATAGGTCTTATGTGAGAAGTGCCACCTTCTAGATCACAGGTCCAAGCAGTGTCCCTGGCTGGGCCCCTCAGGAATTGCTTGGCTAATAACTATTTAACCCAGTCTCTAGAAGGACTAGACGATTTTTCAGCCTATGTCTCTGTTTAGAACCACACCCTTAAAGACAAGATGCTACCCTTGATTGCCACAGCTCTCTCTTTTTGGGGCACAAGGTATGCTGCCCCTGACTGCACCAGGCCTACCTACTTCCTGTCTATAGATCACTGTTTCTGTCTAGAAGGCCTCAGGGCAGTTATGGGGCCTCCTCCCTCAGAAAGCCATCTATCTGTAGATAAATGGAACCAGGACCATCATAGGAGGGCCCCAATGTCATCCATGACAACAGTAGGATGGGCAAGAGCAAGAATTCTCTGTTCAGAACCAGAGCCCCAAGAGGCTGGTAGAAATCACTGTTGGTGTTTTAGAAATCCTATCTACCAGCTCATTAAGAAAGTACAGATGGTCAAGTACAACTCAGAATGAAGATCATGGAGTAGTTCAGTAATACCTCTCAGCCTTCCACCTCTGTATTTGTCTGTTTTCTATCGCTGCCATGACAAATTACCACGAACTTAAGAGCTTCAAACAACACCCATTTATTATCTCACAGTCTGTAGGTCAGGAGTTTAACATGGGTCTCACTGGGCTAAACACAAGGTGTTGGCAGGGCTGCGTTCCTTTCTGGAGGCTCTGGGGGAGAATCACGTCCAGGCTCGCGAAGCTTGTTGGCAGAATGCAGTTGCATGCGGTTATAGAACTTAGGTTCTTATTTCCTTGCTGGTTGTTGGTCAGGGGTCATTCTCAGCTTTGAGAAACCCCTCACATTTTTTGGCTCATGGCCCCCTTTATCTTCAAAGCTATCAACAGCAGGCTGAGTCCTTCTCATGCCTCATCTTTCCCTGCCTTTTCTTCTGTTGCATCTCTCTCTCTTCAGCCAGGAAAGCTCCTTCTGCTTTCAAGCGTTCGCACTAGGCTATTAGCTGAAAGGCTGGCAGTTCAAATCCACCCAGCAGCACCACAGAAGAAAGGGCTGATGATCTACTTTGGTAAGATTGCCGCCATTGAAAACCCTGTGGAGCACATTTCACACATGGGGTCACCATGAGTTGACATTGACTCGACGGCAACATGTTTTTCCCTTTTGATTTTTTTTTTTTTTTTGGTGGTTAGATTGAGTCTACCTGGTTAATCTGGAATAATCTCTCCATCTCAAGATCCAGAACCTTAATCACATCTGCAAAGATCCTTTTGTCATGTAACAATCTATTAATAGGTTTCAGGGATTGGGTGTAGACATCTTTGTGGGGGCCATTATTTGGCCTACCATGACCTCCTTGGCCAAGACTTATTCAGGAGTAAAAGTACCCCAGAGATCATTCCAAGGAAGGGCCTGCGTGATTCCCTCCCTCCCACCTCTCTCTCCACACACAGCCTCCTACCTCACTGGGACAAGGAGGCCTGGCCCTCCCGGTGAAAACCTCGCCAGACTCATGCCACAATGCATCACAGTCAAGGAGAGACTGAGCACCTGGCACAGCCTACTGCCTCTGGAGAGCAGGGGGCATGGCTGGTACATTCATCCCCAACCCTGAACTTCCCAGTCTGTCTGCGCCTCTGCTGTTTCCTGAAGCTGAGCCAATATGCCTGGGAGGATCCCGTGGACTTTGGGGTTCAGGCCAATATAGCCAGAAGCAGAGGCTCTGTTTCCTTTGCAGGGGACCATTAGAAGCTGGGGTTATGATTTCAGTGGTGTTATAAATATTATAATGGTATTGCAGCTGGGGACCCAGGAAGATCCAAATGCTGTCCTGCCAATCATCCCCAGCCCCTTGGCACCTCGCATAAGGAAGAGTAGTAGGATGAGAATAGAAACTGTCATTTTATTATTAGTTGTGTTAGTGGCTGACGCTCAAATCCAGAACCTGGTGAAAGGGTAATTGTATGAGATGGCTGGGGTCTAAGCAAGGTCTCACTTCCTCTCCTCTTGCCAGCACTTGTGCTGAGGGAGTGAGCAGGCCCCAATCTAACTTACTTAACTACGTATTCAGAGAGAGAGCACGCGACATGGCCAGGCCTGTACTGGGGTGGCAGTGCTGCCCGGGTCTGCTCACCACATACAGGCAGGAAACAAAAGCACGCCCCAAAGACGGAGGCCTTGCTAGGACTGAGGCAGGATGTGGAATAGAAAAAGCGCCATCCAGGCTGGGTGCCTTTAAAGTGCAGTAGCCGCGCTCACTAGAAAAATATGGCCCGATGTCTATCTGGGACTCCAGCTTGTCAGATTAGCAACTATTCTTCCTTTGGACAAGACGGGGAGGTACAGGATGGTTTGCGCTCAACTACTAACCTGAAGCCTATGGCCATACCACCCTGAACGCACCTGATCTCTTTTGATCTCAGAAGCTAAGCAGGGTTGGGCCTGGTTACTACTTGGATGGGAGACTTCCTGGGAATACCAGGTACTGTAGGCTTCTGGAAACCCTATGGGGCAGTTCTACTCTGTCCTATAGGGTTGCTATGGGTTGGAATAGACTTGACAGCAACAGATTTGGTTTTTTTTTTTTTCAATTAATCTAAATGTTGGCGGTTGGAACCCATTCAGTGGCACTGTGGAAGAATGGCCTGGTGATCTGCTTCTGTAAAGACTGCAGCCAAGAAAACTCTATGGAACAGTTCTACTCTGTAACACGTGAGGTCAGCATGAGTCAGAATCAACTTGACAGCAACGGGTTTGGTTTTTTGCTTTTTGTGCCCAAGTCTACTTCTGTCTCAACCCAGTGGCTGCCCTTAGATTTCTGGGGATGGAGTGGGGAGAGTGCCTATTGACCTATGCTTGTGAGCCCTGGCACCTTGGCAATCAGGAGCCCAGCACTGTGAGCCCTTGCTGACCACACCCACCAGTGGAGGGACACATCACCCATAGAAGGCACTAAGCCAGAGACCTGCAATGGTACATCCACTTTGAGACCTCCTGGCTAGCAATGCTGGGGTGAACTGCTCCCTGTAATGTCAAGCACACCCTAAACTCCTGAGATGCAAAGGACCATACAGGCTTGGGATGTGCCGTTTCTCTGCTGAGAGCTTACTTGGCTGGGTTTGGGGGATATAAGTTTCCCACAACCAATGAATTCTTGGTGTTCTCTCTAGGAAGTTTTCACTAACTCCCAGGTCAGAGTTAGATGTCTCCTGCCTGCTCCATACTGTACTGAAATCACCTGTTATTAGTCTGTCTCCTCTAATAAACTGAATTCCTTGAGGCCAGGATTATGGGTTTTTTGCCATTGTTTTCCTAGCCTGGCATAAGACATCACACAGTAGAAGCTCAGCTAATACCAGTTGATGAATGCTAAATGATCGAAATACCCCTCCCACCCCACCCAGCCCAGGCAGGGTTCCTGGCACAGACCAGCCTGTCTCCGTAAGCTCTCTGGCCATTTGTTCCGCTGTGGCCTCGGGTCCCAGAAGCAGGTTTCTCCTACAGCAGGTTTCAGTCTGGGAGAGAGGGGAGTCTTATAGCTATAGTGACAGGAGTTGTCTGCATAGAAAACACAGTTGAAAACATAAAACAGAATGAAAGCTTAAAGGGAAAAAAATTCACAGGCTGCCCCCTCTGCCTGGAACGCTCTTTCTCCTGTTATCCGCTGTTCAGTTATCTATGCTTGCGTAGCAAACCGCTTCAAAACGAAGTGACTTAAAATAACAACAACGGTTTTATTGTCATCTCTCATGGTTCTGAGGGTTGACTGGGCTCAGCAGGGTGGTCCTTGCTCAGGATATCTCAAGGAGTTGCAGTCAGACAGCGGTTGGGGCCGAAATAATCTAAAGGCTCCTTACTTGGATGTCTAGAGCCCACTATTGGGGCTGGAATCACTGGGGCTCCTCAGGCATCTCTTTCTCTCTATATGTCTCTAGCTCTAGCTCTGTCTCTTCTCTCTCCAGTATGCTGGCTTCACAGTAGACAGATTTCTTACATGGTGGCTCCCGGCTCCAAAGGCTCATGTCAAGAGAAAGAGAGAGAGAGAGAGGAGAGAGAGAGAGAACCAGGAGGTAGGAGGAAACCATATTACCTTTTATGACTAACCTCGGAAGTCACAAAGCATTACTTCCACCACATTCTATTCATTGAAGCAGCCATAAAGGCCCACTCAGATTCAAGGGAAGGGGACATAGACTCCCCCTCTTGGTAGGGGAATAGAAAGGTTCTGGAAGAGCATGTGGGACCAGAAATATTTTTGAAGCCATTTTGGGAAAATCTGCCTACCCTTCCAAAACCCAGCATGAGAAGCGTAGCCAACTCATCATGGGTAGTATAACTTTCACTCTTCAGTCGCTTTCCAGTATTTCATACCCCTGTAACACCACTTAAGAAGCCCTAGTGGTGCGGTGGTTAAACACTCGGCTGCTAACCAGAAGTTCGATGGTTAGAACCCATCAGCTGCTCCCCGGCAGGAACATGTGGCAGTCTGCTTCTGTAAAGATTTACAGCCTTGGAAACCCTATGGGGCAGTTCTGCTCTCTCCTACTGGATTGCTGTGAGGTGGAATTGACTCAACAGCCGTGGGTTTGGTTTTTGGTAACATCACTTAAAAACCAGTTGCCATGCAGTTGATTCCAACTCACGGTAGGTGATGCAAATGGTTAACATGCTCAGCTGTTAACTGAATGGTTAGAGGTTCACGTCTACCCAGAAGAGCCTCAGAAGAAAGGGCTGGCAATCTATAGCCAAAAAATCAGCCACTGAAAACCCTATGGAGCACAGTTCTACTCTGACACATGTGAGGTTGCTGTAAGTCACGCTCGACTTGGCGACAACTGGTTTGGTTTTAGTTTAACATCACTTGACACCACAGGTGTTTTATTCTAGCTGTATATACAGGCGTCTGTCTAAATTGTAAGCCTCTGCAAGCCAAGGTCATGTATTGTTCTGTTTTGGTGAAGCACAAAGTAGCAGATAGCTGCAGTTTATTGACTTAAAATGAATGGCAAGACAAGAGTTGAGCACTGAGTACAGAACCTTGGGGGAAACCTATACTTGAGGGACAAGAAGCACAATAGCCAGTGAAGGAGACTTGGTGGGGAGTGTTTTCAAAACCAAACTGTAATAGCCTTTGCACAAATATTGTGGGCATTTTCCCTCTCTAGGCAAATTGTCTCTGAATAAAGCAAGCTATGTCTACAATCATGAGATATCTGAGAAACCTCCACAACTAATACTTTGTAAACAATAGTTGCTGAACAAATTCCTAATTGTTATAACAGAAATCTTCTGAAGAGTTAAACCTGGGAAGAAACCCTAGCCATAAAATAGAACCAAAACTTGCAAGGATTTTTTTTCCCTCTAAGAAATTTATGGTATGACAAGCCATAACTTTATTAATAATCACATCGTTTGAAAACAATACTGAGATACCATTTTATGCCTATTAACTTGGGAAAGCTTTTTCAAATATTTGTAAAATGGCAATGATGCCACCGAAAAGGACACTTATACATTTCTGACAGAAAGTGAGTCGGCCAAGCCTTATGGACGATAAAAGACTCGTAAGAGATCATTCTCTTTGATTCAGTACTTGCACCCCTAGGAATTTATTCTAAGGAAATAGGGACAAAATTCTTACTGAGGATGCTTGACAAAGTATATTTTATGATAGCAAAGTATTGGAAATGATCTAAATGTTCAAACAGCGGTTGGTTAAATAAATGTTATACAACTATTAAAAAGATAATGTTTTTGAAGAGTATTTGATAGCATGAGAGCACGCTCGCAATACAATGTTCTCTGCAAATAAAACAGAATACAAACTGCATAAATTGTAGGAGATAATAAGATCCTGATTTTGTCTAAAAATCATATATGAAGAAAACACTAACCAAATTCCACAAAATATTAACAGTAGTTATGTCTGAGTGATGGAATTATAGGTGATTATTATTTTTTCTGCCTTTTTTTAAAAAAACAATAAACGTAATACTTTTGTAATCAGGAATAAGTCGTACTTTTTTGAGAAGATCCAGCAATTGTTTCTGTGACTAGCTAGGTGATTAACAAAATGGAGAAAATGTTTTTCTGGGAAAGAAATTAAATAATTTATGATAAAGGTCTTGGTATAGAATAACTCACACTTAAAAAAAAAAAAATCTAACATGCAAAAGGACAGCCTGGACACACGCAGAAGTGCTGTCTCGGAAGTGTGAAATTTCACACTTGCCAAAGCCTGTGCGGGTCCCTCTGAGCATTTCCTCTATAGCACATGGGAACTTGTTGTCCTCTGGCTCTAAGACAGACTCTAATGGGCAGCAGGAGTGCTGAGCTGTGCCTTTCCCAGACTTCCTGGGAAACGAGGAACAAGTCCATTAACCTTTTTGAGCTCCTCAAGCTCCTGTCTGATATGGAAATCCACTAACGTCAACAGGGCGCCTACGGGCAAAAGCGAAAGAAAATAAAAGCCACAGGTAAGACCGCTTTAGGCAGAGGCCCAGGCCAGCAGGATGAAGACACCACACAGCTGTCTGCAACTGAAGGGCGTAGACCCTTTGCTGACGGTCTTCCCAGGATCCTATTTCATAGTCTCTTTGTTGCAACACTGCTGTAGGCACCCAGGAAACAGCTGAGTTTTCTGCTCAGGGACCCTCAGCAGCTTCTCTGATAGGGAGTCTCACTCAGGTACTAGTTACCATAATACCATAAAGCTGTCTGCCCTCGGCAATGCATCATGCAGTGGTGACAGGCTCATAAAACCTGACTTCCCCGTGGACACCGAATACCAGCCCTAAGGACATAAACGGTCAGTGTTTAGGCATTTCCCAACTTGCAAATGGGCCAGCATCTTAAAACCTTGTTTGTACAGCGGTGGTGATGAGCCAGGGGTGCCAGGGAAATCATGTCATAAATGTAGCACAGTACAAGGCACACAGCTGATGCTCAGTAAATATTTGATGACCAGTGATGGCCAAGTAGAGGTCAAGGTCCAGTTTTAACCCTTAGGAACATACTGAACCAAATATGGCTGAAAGCCACACTGTTTTCTAATATCAGAAACAATTTTGCTTAATACCAGCAAATAAGGTATCAGAAAACCATCTATAGCATTAAATAATTGGATAATTGGTCTTAAATATATTTATCTTAATGTGTCTGTTGAGAAGAAAGCAGGCTTAAGCAGAGGAAGTTGAGAATGTAGACTCTAGCAGAGATGAAAGAAAAATCTAGGCAGTTTCAAGGAGCTTAGAGACGAGAGACATTGGGTTTTTGTTATTTTACTTTTCATCTCCTTTATGTAAATGTAACATTAGCACTTCCTTTTTGGTTGACAGCCAAGATTCAGTCATTTTACAACCATTACAAGAGAAAACAGGAGGGGCGAGAGAAAAAGAGGCAGTGTAAATCCATGCTAAGACATGACAGAGTCAAGCAGACCTCCTGCCACACATCTGGGCCGGAGCCAAGATGGACCAGAGCATAAATCTAAGA